AATCTTTGTTTCATGTTCTTCATTTTCATTACTTAGAGAACATCATGCCACTCCCTTCTGGCCTGAAGAGTTTCTGTTGAAAAATCGGCTGTTAGCCTTATGGGGTTTCCCTTGTAAGTCACTGCTTGTGTCTCTCTTGCAGCCCTTAATAATTTTTCTTTGTCCTGGACATTTGCCATTTTAATTATGATGTTTCTGAGAGTGGGTCTCTTTGGGTCCCTCTTGTTTGGAACCCTCTGTGCTTCCTGAACTTGTGTGGCTTCTCCCTCGCCAGCCTAGTGAAGTTTTCTGTCATTATTTCCTCCACCAAGTTCTCTATCCCTTGCTGTCTTTCCTCCCAAAGCTCCCTTAGACTGTCCTCATGCTTTTTATGTGTTTTTTTTCTTTTTGCTGCTGTGATTGAGTGTTTTTTTCCACCTTGTCTTCTAAATCACTTATTCTATCCTCTGCTTCATTGAGCCTGCTTTTTAATTTCTTCCAGTGTATTCTTGATATCAGATAAAGCATTCTTTATTTCTGTCTGATTTTTGTTCATGTTATGTATCTCTCTTTTCATGTTTTCCCTGAAGTCCTCGATCTTATCCTCTATTACCTTGTTTTTCTCTTTAAGTTCCTTGAACATCTTCATCATTAATCCTCTGAATTCTGTTTCTGATAACTTGCTTAACTCCATCTCATCAAAGACTTATTCTGGTGATGTTTCCTTTTCTTAAATTTGGGGGTTGTTTCTTTGTCTTCCCATTTTGTTAGGTCTTAGTGTTTGTATATATATATTAGATATATTTGCTGTCTCCCATTCTTGTGGGGTGGGATTTTGTCTTGTGAGTCCAGTGAAACCCAGAGGTGTGTTTTCTTTATTCTTCTGTGCTCTTTGCTCTAGGCGTGTCCTTTTTGTGGGTGTCCCTTTTGTTGTTTCTTCATGTTCTCCTGTTGTGGTTGGGTCGATTGTCATTGACCAGTCCTTGGGAGGACTCTCCTCTCAGGTTGCCTAACTGTGGTCTCAGCCTCAACCTCATCATGTAAGCTGTTGTACAGGTGCTGGCAAGGCAGGACAATACACAACTAAACTTCCAGGAAACAGGGGTATCTTACAAAATATCTTGACTGTCACAATGAAAACAACCCGAGTAAAAGTAGAACTCAGAGAGTGAAGAGAGAACACACACACACACACACATACACACAAGAAAGAAAGAAAGAAAGAAAGAAAGAAAGAAAGAAAGAAAGAAAGAGTAATGCTTTGAGAGAGAGATGTATATTATTGTTAATAGTGATGAAAATTTAGAAAATAATAATAAACTAAAATGTAAAAAATAGAGAAGCTACTGGGAGATAACCGAGACAGAGAAAAGATTCTGAAAGAAAGTCCAGCAAAAAATTAAGGGAGAAAATAGGAATAGGATAACATTTGAAAATGAAAAAATAAAAATACAATAAAGAGAATAAGAGAAGCTAACAATCGAAGAAAAAAACAAGAAGACAGAATGGAAGATAACAAAAGAGTGAAAGAAAAGAAGAAAAAGAAAAAAGAAGAAGAGAAAAACAAGTTATGCCAATGATTGAGAGGAGAGAGCAAGATAAAGCCTGGGCAGGGAGGGAGTCCAGTAAGAGATTTGGTGAAAACTATAGAGAAAAGCAGTAAACTTGTTTATAATGATAAAGTCCCTGTCATTAAGCAAAGATATCAAGAAAGTCTTGATAGTGGAAGCAAGGATAAAACAAAACAAAGTAAATAAAACAAAACAGAGTAACAAAACTAAAAACAAGCTAAGCAAGACAAAATTCTTTTATAAAAAATAAATTTAGTTAAAAAATGTTTTTTAAAAAATTTTTAAAAAATTATTACAAAATTTAAAAAAAA